ATCGTACTAAAGAAAGAAGGAATCCCGAAGACAGAAGAAACTTTTTGCATAAAAAGAGGGAACAAGAGATAACATAATTATGACAATTAGACTTAGACAATAATATCCCATTGAAAAACTGGACAAGTAAAATTACAAGTGACTGTGTATATTTCTATGTATTAAACATTAATCAGTTGGGACACAAGTGTGATAATATTTGTGTAATACATAGTGTAATAGTTAGCAGTAATTTTAGTGTAATCGTCAATGTAGGTAAGAATAGATTAAGTAGTAATGATTTGAAATGGATTTTACAATATAGTAAATTTAACAAGATGGTCACAATTAGAGAACTTACTTTCTCATTTAGATCTGCTTTTTAGATAAGTGATAACAAATTTGAGTATTACATTCAAAAATCTTTTGATAATATAGGCTATTTTAAATCGATATACAAGTTATAAATGGTATGTTACATTCAACACATTTTTCATGTATACCTCTCTTAACTTGGTCTATATGACAAAAAACCTATTCATATTTAAAATTGCTACTTTCGTATACCTAAGTATGAAAATTCAACAAAATTGTAAGTAAATAGTAAAATATTTAATTTTCAATTAGATTAATTTAGAACCATATTTATATTGTGTCTGATTTCTTAGGATGAATTTTTTAATCATAATAGTTACACTAAGTTTTTACTGAACAAATTTTATGTCTTTTGTATTTTTAATAATCTTTTTAAATCTCGTGTTAATATATTGTGTTATTTATATGCTTAAGTACTTAATATTTAAAATAGGTAACTTTACAGCTGATTATCGGACTACCGACGTCATAGAACGCGGTGTTGCCTTTTTTACTTCATGGCTTGGAAGTAAAGGTGGCTGTGATCTGACGGATCAAAAATTTATATTGTTATCAGTAATAATTGATTTTTAGACTGATTCAAACTAAGTTTAAATAATTTTTTTAAGTATGTCCTTTTAATTGACTACAAATTACTTAAATATGACTAGACTTTGTGTTTTTTTTTGAAGATCTATTTTGTTAAATATATAGATTATTAAGGACAAAATGTTCAAGAATACTGTATTTTGTTATCTATATCTAAATTTGTTTGATTAAAATATAAGCGTAATTAAAACCAGTCTTGATTAATTTATTAATTAAAAAAAACAATCCCCGGTAATTGTTAATGTTTAATACAATATCTTTAGATCCAATGTTAACAAATACCAGTTCCCAAAATTGTTGTAAATCCAAAAACTAACGTAAACCGCAGAAAAAATAGTGAAATAAATTGTAGTAACACAAAATATTTCATAAATAATGTCATAACTAAAAATAATATTTCATTTCGAACATTTTGCTTAGAGCAATACAGTGTTAACTCAAAATTTTTAAATAATTTTATTGTCAGTATTTTTATTTAACTAAGAGTACAAAGAAACTTCCTTTAGTATTAATTAGAAACATATTACGCATTAATTTTGTTTTAACTGCAATAGGAAATGATTAATGAGTTTTTCGTTTATTCTGAAAAATCATCTTTTTTGAGTTACGACACTATTGTATTATTAGTGAGATATGATAAAATAATATAATTAATAACAAATTAATTATATAAAATCGCAGAAAAACATAGCCGTTTTAAAGCAAGTGGATTTCAGAACTAAGTAGTTTTAGAAACATACGAGCAGTCTGGAAAATTAATCTTCACTGATTATAAAAGACACATTTTTGCATCGACATCAGCTATAAACATGGCTCCGCATTTGCTGCCCTGAGACAGTCATTGGCAACGTATAAAAAAAATCTGGAGAATTTAACATTGACTTTACGCGAACTGTACACGTACAACGTATCTTATGTAAAACAGGGTAAATTATTACTGTTTATGTAGAACTATATTATTCAATGTTTATGTAGAACTAATTCTGGGAAATTGGAAACTGCCCTGTTAAGGTATGCGCATTTCTTCACCTTGAATTTTGCAGACGACCAGGCAGTGCTGACCCAAGATTCTTTTGATATGAAGTGTATGATGAAAACAAGGGTAAAAGTGTAAGTATCTTGGTGTTGTAGATGATGAAGTGGGTATAGATAGAAAAAATATGAAATTGATGCTCCAAGAGTCAGGAGAGGTCATAGGTGAACTCAACTCTATTTGGTGGGCCAAATACATTAGCAAAAGCAATAAAAAGCGAATTTCTTGAACCATGGATGATTCAGTTCTTACATATAGCTGCGAAATTTGGACAATAAAAGACGATTTACAGTAGTCGAAATTGACTACTTACAACTATCTGCCAGATTTTCTAGAATAGATCGGATTCCCAACGAAGAAATGAGAGACAGAATATTAGCACCAGAAACAATATTGTTGAGCGTATCGAGAAAAAGTCTTAGTTAGATTGATCATTTACTTAGAAATAACGAACCTACTTTTGTAGGGTTTTAACCCTAAAGTATTATAACGCAAAAAGGCTTACAATATAACATAAATAATTAAGATTTTGTATATTATTTTTAAGTATAAATGTTAATTGTCCACACGATAATAACCTAAGTGAACTTATTCTTATCCTTTTCCATCGAAAGGGGTCGCTGTATATAAATATAAACATTAAGTTGACATTGAGAAGTCACAGGTATTTGGAAATTTATAATTATAAATATACGTACATAATATGTAGAATTATGGTCATTGTAGTTTAGAATATATTTAAGTAAGCTATTAATCACGCTAGCAAAGAGTTTTTTATTGCGTATACTTATCGTGCGTTATCTGTCGATATGTTAAACAAGTCAGTAAACTGATATAATGAAATAAATCTAAGGTGATAATTAGTAAAAGTCTAAAGTCAGTTTTTGTTGGTTCTGAGGATTTTTCACCATCTGATCTGTCATTTGGCTTTTTCATACCTTCTACCAGAGTAGCCTTCTGTTCATGCCATAATTTTTGTTCCTCATACATTGAACTCACATTGTTCCTATGAATATAAGTCCAACATCTGGTTATTTTATGAAGAATAAACGGTATCAGTACACTTTCTGGAAAACACAATTATTTGACTTATACTCTTACTACTTATCACCTTAGAAATATGGTTTTTAAGATGTAATTAGTGCGAGTAATTACAACAACCCTTACTGACAATATTTTATAATACACTTCTTCGTAAGTCATGGAGCGAGAGAATAAATGGTGTTCTGAGGGCTCATGATTTAGAAGAAAACCTGGCACAAGATCGGCCAACTTGGATGCGGAGACGGAACGAAAACGCAGCGACTAGCTGTATGATTGTTTTTTAATATAAGTGTATTGTAAATAATTAATCCGTATTATATCCGATATTTGTATTGTGCCATTCTCGACAGCAAGCTCAAGGATGCTGCACAGGTAAAGGCAGCTTTACATCTAGGCTATGCAAGTCTCATGCTATGCAAGTCCGTCTTGCATGGCACATCTCTTGCCTAGCTTGACCTTTTTACATCAGAGATATTTCTGTGCAATTTTAGATCCCACTTTCATTGTTGCCAACAGAGAAAATATTTATCAATTTGAGGTTATTTTATTTTAAATAAATATAATTAAGTACTAAAATAAATATACACTATTTATGGTTATTAAAACGGTGAAGGATGTCAACCAAAGAAAAGAAAACATTGTTATTGTTGAATATTGCTATTGTAGCAACAATCATCCATAGTCAACGACTCACCCAGTCGTTTTTACATTAACTTTAGACATAGTATATCTATTTATCACCACTTAATAAACTTAATTTAAATCAAAACACAACAATACACACGTGGGCTAAGGGACGCTAAAGACAGAGATAAGGTTATGTTTTATTCTGTAATCTATTATAAATTCTTATCTTGGCAACATGAATTTTAAAGATAAATTGCAAGAAAATAGCATGAAAAATAGAACATGTTCTAATTTTTCGTCTAGCACAGGAATTGCATGGAAATAGCCCGTGGGCATGCGCAGTTCCATGATCTGTCTTGCATGGCTCTTGCCTAGCATGAAAATAGCATAATGTAAAACTGTCTTAAAAGAAAACAAGTCCTCATAACGGAAAGGAGTGTCCATAAAATTGATCCGAACATTTACTTGAAATTGAAGATGATGAAATAAGTGCTGGCTTTGATAAGCAAAAGTGCAACATATTCCGCGCAAGAGCAGGCTGGGCATGGCTCTACAGAAATAGCTGCAGCACTGCTAAGCTATTTTACGACCCTTGATTTTATTGGAAAAAATATTAAATTTTTTTGCTGTCAGTTCCTCTGGGTAAAATCAGAACAACCAGTTCACGCTCTTATTAGCCAAAAACGAGGAAAGTTTGCAAAAAATTACTTTAACATTGCCATTACAGGACTTTTCTGCAGATCGAATATTTACGAGGATCGAGAAAACTCAACGAAAGAAGCTCAGAATAATTGAGAAGAACGAGTAATACACGGAATATGAAAAAGTGGGCGAAGTTGTTGAAATTAATACCTACTCTGCCTGAAGTATGTTGTAGAATGTCACATTACACAAATTTATTGGAAAATTACGTCGTATTTGATATAGTAATACGCTTATCATACGACGTATTACCATTAAAATCTTTAGATTACATCTATATTAGTCTATCAATATATTAGAATATATTGTTCTGAACCTATTTTCTTGTGGCATTTTAAAGTAATTGCTATTTAAATGGGAATAAGCCACAATTACAGGTTAAAGTAATTAAGTATTGACGTTTCAACTTCCACTTCGGAAATTCACGATTTCCGAAGTGGAAATGGAAATGTCAATAAACTTGCTTTAACCTGTAATTGTGGCTTATTCCCATTTAAATGGTAGTAACAAAATATATCTAAAAAATTTCCGAGTGCAAAAGCATCTACTTAATAATGTATGCTTGCTAGCAAAAAACTGTGTTAGATTTATCAATGTGCTTTATAAAAGACTATAAGTACTTTAAATAAAAAATATTTTATTATTTTTTCAGTTATTACAGTGTACAATATTTTGAATTCGAGAGATTCAACTAGAAATAAGTTTCAACATCCAATAATAACATATATATTGTACAGAATCGAAGATTTCCTTATTGCAAAAAAATATGAAACTGAATAATCTTAACCAACCAAACCTACAAAACAGAAGAACGGAAGAATGTCAGTTTGGCAATTACGTCTCTCATGGCTGTTTTACACGTATTAATTTCAGTTTATGGGGTGAACAAATAATGTATATTTTGTATAATAAAGAATTTAAATATTGACCGATACACATGTACAGTTTACACATAGTCAATGTACAGTTTGAAATAAAAAACTAAATGTAAAAGATTCCAAAAACCAAAAGTTTGTCATGGCATTTGTATACGGCAATCGGACTTGTGTAAAGCCGCTTTTAAGAAGGCTAACTTCACTCAATTCAAATTTGTGACTTATGACATAATTTTAAATATTTGGCTTTTGTTTTGTTTAATATGGTTTTATTTATTTAATTTATTTTAAAAAATTGTTATATTGCTCTTATCTATATTTTAAAGACTTCTATGTATTTTAATAAATGAATACAGAAACAATTGAAAACTTTTTTGGAGTATATTTACTTTATTGCTTAAATCCCCGGTACAAAGGCAGAACCTATATTGGATACACAGTGGACCCTAATCGTAGATTAAAGCAGCATAATAAAGGAAAACAATTCGGAGGAGCCTGGAAAACTAGTAATAGGGGACCATGGTAAAATATAATACATATTTTAGGTTAAGTTCTTAATTTTGAATGTTTTCTAAAAAATAGGTAAAAGTAAACCTGATCATATTTTTTTAGTATATTAGGAGCAAAGAATATAGACGCTTAAGCGTCTATATTCTTTGTTAGGAGCTTCAAAGTTTCGACAGGAATATTAAAACTACACGTTACATATTTTATCAACTTATAACCGATTTTTGTGTACATTCAAAATTGCAGAGTTGAGTTAGTAAGTTTATACATTTTATTCCACAATATAACTACCCAGTTTTTTAGGTCAATGGTTATGATTATACATGGATTTCCAAATGACATATCTGCTCTAAGAGTAAGTATTCATAGGCTGTATATGCATATATTAATCATGGGCTGTGTGAATTATACATTGCTTTTAGTTTGAATGGGCATGGCAGCATCCACATGTATCGAGGAGACTGAAACATGTAGGTAAGAAGAAAAGGAATGAAAAAACTTTTAACTTCTGCTTACGAGTTCTTTCTGAGATGTTGAAAATTGGGCCTTGGTGTAGATTACCTCTCACAATTAGATGGCTTAATTCTACATTTGCCACAGACTTTGCTGTAAGTATAACATCTGATTGATGCAAAGTAGTAGAAAAATTAACATAGTCAAAAATTGTGAGTAAATAAAATAATTCGTAAAATTGTTTATTTCACTATTCTTCTTTTGTATCAAGTTATTGTGGTAAAATTAACAGAAATGCTATGTATTTATATCCACAAGAAACTATATACTAAGTAACTGAAAGTGGTAACCCCAAAGTAAATAGGGTTCTTCCTTGGACCAAGAGGAACCTGAGTACCAACTTTCAAGAAATTAGGACTTCTCCTTTCAACCTGTCTTGTCACCTAGACAGATTGACTGTCAAATAACAAACCTGTGGGGCCTTAATCAATGCTGATATGAATGGTAAACCCAAGACCCCATTTAATAGCTTACTAGAAGATACCACTATTTACTGTAACTAAGTATAAGAAACGGCATGACTCAATAGGAAAAATACTTTACCAAGAGCTGTAATTGTGATATGTTTGAGAATGACAACTACATACTAATATTCTGTTAAAAGACCATCTAGTGACATAATTATTCTGATAAGCCTCTTAGAAACCATCAAACAGCTAGAATGTGATGAATATCTATAAATGAATTAACAAAACTTTCTGCATGCAATGTTCAGCTGTGCTAGAAAGTTTTTAGAAGAAATACTTCAGCATGTCAGCCTATTTAGGGCCCGATAATAGAGCTTGAGAACTTTTGATATCCTGAAATACAGGAGGTATTTAAGGAGCAAGCAAAAATGAAAGTTTTTATTAGGGTACTTTAAAACTGGGAAGGGTACTTTAAAATAAAATAAGTGATTTTTACAGAGGGGCGAATACAAAGTAAATAACCAGAAGAGGAGTACCAAACAAAGACAATGTCAAAAGAATATTACAACTTGAAATGAAGTCAAAGAAGTAATTACAAAGAAATTGTTGAATTCTATGAAAAATTTATCCAATTTCTAACACCATTGAACAAAATTGTAACCTGTCCCATATTTTAGTATATTTTGTATCAAATTTAGGACACACTTTAAGAGATTTAACCAATTTTCAGTTTTTTTCTTTAATACCTAGTATCAACGTAAACATCATACATTTTAGTTACTGTGTTATATTTGTAGGTACCACCACTTCATATGCCAATTTGTCATGGATTAGTAATTAGTAAGAAGATCGAAAAAAGTTCAACCACACAAAATAGCTCCAATTCATCTTATAAAATCTGTGATATTTGTTCTTTGACCATAACAGGGCAAATTTTGAAATGTATTAACTACAGTTGTGATCTCAATAGTCACGTAACTTGCTTATCAAAGAAATTTTTGAAGCTGGGTGAATATGTTCCAGTTGAAGGAAAGTGTCCAAAATGTGAGAAGATATTTTTGTGGGGTGATTTAGTGAGAAAGTTTAAGGGATGTTATAATAATATGGATCTGGAAGTTACAGTAGAAGACGCTGCAGAATTTTATATGTCTGATTCAGACTGATTCTATATTTTTATTGTCCCTATGTATAAGTGTATATTTTATATTTTTTCACGTGAAGTTTGTCATGGAGATAATTTAAAGAATTATTTTACTGTTTTGAACATTTATTGTGATGTGATTTTAGTATAAAAATAAAGAAAACTTAATTTTAAACTCAAAGATTATATATTCATCATGATCATGTCCTTTATCCTTATCCGTTAGAGGGATGGTTTCCTTAATTATATCTTTCCCCTCCCAAACCTACCAGGAATATGCCACTAAATGATCCTTCATATTGGATGGGTCTTATTCTGATGTTGAATATGCTCTTATCACATCTAGATACTGTGAAAACCTCTACTTCGTCTGTAAAAATATTCCTATTTTTTATATTGTGTAGATATTTTCTTATAAAAAATATAGAAAAAAAATATCAAGGAGTATAAACGGAGAGAACATGAAGAAAAGATAGAGATAGAGAAAACAATTGAAAAAAATAGAAACAAAGCAGAACCTGGGAAACTCAGAACAAAAACCAACCCAAGAAATCCGTAATCAGTTACAACTGAAAATAAAGAATGTTAACTCTGACCTACAACCAAAAATTAGTAATAATGAAATAAAAAAGGCACTCAAATTAATGAAGAATAACAAATCTCCTGGGAAAGATGGAGTAACTGTGGAAATGCTAAAAAATGAGGGGAAAACTACAGTGGAAGTTCTTTATGTATTAATGAATAAAATATTGAACACAAAACAAATACCCACCACATCGAACGAGGCAATAACACTATGATAGAATAGATAAGCCGATAGAAAAGATATGAAAAACTATAGGCGCATAACGCTACTTATCCTTCCATAGTGACAACCTTCCATAGAGGTATTAATCCGCCCATGAACAAGCAGAATTGCTTATAAAGAGGAAGAAGAAGCGAAGAATACATACATTGTGCGCCGTCAATAAATCCATCTTCGTTATCAGCATGGGAAGAAAATATGATTGACAACTACAACAGGTATCAAATTGTAATTAATGATTCTATCGATAGTTACTACGTTACAAGTGGCTAACGGCAACACTGTTTCTCCCAGACCTTTTCCCATAACTATTGGTAACAGTAGCGCACCTAGAATTTTCCTCTGGGGGGGTTTTGGTTGGGCACCGAAATTTTTTTATGCTACCTCCACCATTAAATCCTTAAAATTTATGAATAACAGTGTCGGAATAGGGTCCTGGGGGGTTTTTAACCCTCAAAACCCCCTGGGGCGCCACTGATTGGTAAGCAAGGTAATTTCTCCACAACTGTTCAATACCCTCGAGCAGCAAGGTCCTGAGACAAGCCACTTAGCGTCTTGAGCTACGATCGACTGCCTTGCTAATTTTTTTATTGTGTTAAAGAAGCGCTAAACTCATCTTACGACGAAAATGAAAGGTGTCACATAGGCGTGACCAGTTTTTAAATTCGATATTAAAAATTTATTATAACATCTCATTTTAATACCATTGATCGCTGGAACGATACTTTATCTATGTTTACAGTAAGTTCTTGTCAAACAAAAGCTACCATTCGATGTATCAAACGGTCAAGCATTGTCGATCGAAGTTTCGATTTTATTATGCTCAGCTTAGAAAAAGTTCTCTCACAAGTACAACTTTTTAAGGAGTTGTGACACTTTTCTTTGGTGGGTGCATTGATTATACTCAGATTAAAGATTTTTCCGTAATTGTAGAATGGATCTTGGTGCCTTCTTTGTTGTATTCCTTGTCCAATCTACAAACATCTTCGGAATCACTGTAATATTGTTATCACTTTACAAACTATCCTCAACTTTTCCTTTGATATTTTTAGGTCAGTTTTCTTGTTTCGTAGTTTTGGTAATTTCCGTTCAAATCCTGTATATTGAGCTTCAGATTTCGTCATATGTTTTTACCGAATAAGGGCGTAAGCCTCATGCCAAACCCCAACCTAACTTAATTTAGCTTTTATAAATTTGATTTTTATTCATATACTTTATATATCAAGATTTATCAATAATTTTTGAGCCGTCAGTTTCCATCTTTTACCGTACTACTAATCCATAAGTTGACTTCACATTGCTTGTGCCTTTCTATTCAAAGCAGTAGACTCTTTAACCATTATACCGCATTTTAACTGCTTTATACCGTATTCCAACTAGAGTCGGAACTCGAATCATGAACCTCATCAGATAAGCAGTTTAAAGCGTTTATGTCAGCACAATTAACTATCGAAGCCGAATACCTACAGTTCAAATACTCGTGTAAAGATAAAATAAGAGGTTACAGAACAAATAATTAACCATAAAAATAGAGAAATATATTTTAATCGAATAAGTACTTAAAAAATTATTATTGCACACTTCATTTAAAAGCTTCTAAAACAATCATTCATCTTGAACTCCTGACAAGGGACACACATCTAGCATACAAAAAGTAGCTCTACACATAGGACAGGTACATTTGGAAGAAAGCCAAGTGTTGACTCTATCAGCTTCTTGTCGAGAGGCAAACCATTTTGCCATACAGTCGCTGCACCACATCGGCCTGCAGTAACAGTTTGTGCATTTGTTTTCGACGTTTGGTGAATCCTCGCAAAGTTTTTGAAGTTTGACGTTTGGTTGAGCTTGCATACATCCATTGCATTGCTCTGAAATCTAAAGTGAATATATAAATCATCAAAAACCTAGGAGAAAACAAAAAATATGCCATGAAATTTATTGTAAATCACCATAATACGCTCAAGATATTATGTGTACTTTCTACGATATTAAGTGTGATATAAATGTGCATTATCCGTTAAAAATAAATAATTCTTTTGTGTTGCCAACTTACCTCATTTGTTTCATACTTGGGATTCATCTTAATAGTCTCATTAAATACATCTACAAATTTTTCTACTACCGTTTGATGAAACTTAACGTTAGGTAAAATTCTTATCGTCCTGGCTACTTTATCTTTAAGATCTCTAAAATCTGTCGCGTTTATCCTAATTATAAACGGATCTACTCCTTGTCTCTCAGATTTTACTTCTATGTTTAGGTACTGAACAGTTGTATTGTCTGGTGACAACTCAAAAGTATCTGCTTCTTTTACTACTAGAGATGCGTCACTTTGATGGACTACATTCATTGTTAAAGGCGACACCTTAATGATCCAATTTTCAGTGACGATGACAGTTACTACGGCACTGGTTTGCAAACGAATTTTTTCAATGCTAAAAATAATTATATTTAATTTACAAAAAGTACAAACAGAATTTCGCATTAAGTTACACAGTAAACCAATCACAAATAAAAGACAAAAATTGATTCCAAAACACCCAGAAAAGTATAGAGAAGCATTAGCAGAAGCTGGCCTACCAGTGACTACCGGAGACTCTGACAAAACGTGGGAATACACAAAGAAATGGATCACTGAAGCCATCAACAATACTAATTCCAAAGACAAAACAGCTAGGAAAGAACATTGGATGACTGAAGAGACTCTCAATCTTGTAGAATAAAGACGAAAACTTAGAAACGACCCATCAAATTCTAAACAAAAAGAAATGGAGATATGCACCATAAATACAACTATAAAACACTTGTGAAGAAGGGACAAAAATAATTATATTAAAAACATATGTGTACAACTATAGGAACATGCTGACCGCCAAGAATCTAGGGAACTTTTCTCAAAATTCAAGTATCTATTTTCAAATTAAGCTTACCCTTAACTTCAAAAGTTATATACGCTAGGTGCGCCTTTTGTTTTTAAGGGGTGAAAACTACCCCTTATTGAAGAAACTGGGAAAAACACGGATTTAATTATTTTATGCACTTAAATCCTGTTTATTCGCATAAGGTAAATATTGTAATGTGTTCTCTAATATGAAAATTAATTATTCACAATTTTCAACCCTTGAAGCCCTTTAAAAACCCTTAAAAGCTAATACTTTTTATAAAAATAATATGAAAAAAAGTCGTAGCAGCTTGAGACATTTCAATTATGTATTTAAATACAAATAAAAATTAATACCCTAGCTATACAATAATATTTTATGACAAAAATGAATTAAAAAATATTTTTATCGGTTTGAAACATTTCTTAAGTGCATTTTGTTTAACGAAAATTAATTTTTTGCATATAAAATAACTTTTTATTATACTTTCAACATTTCAACCCTCACAACCAACCTATTTTTTAAAAAATTAATTTAATATATTTTTATTGGTCTGAAACATTTCTTGAGTGCATTTTATTAAACAATAATTAATTTCTTGCTTATAAAATATCATTTAATTATAATTTTAACATTTCAACCCTCACAACCACCCCCTTTGTCAAAAATGAATTAAAAAATATTTTTAACGATTTGAAACATTTTTAGAGAGCATTGTTTGTAGACAAAAATTAATTTTTTACTTATTAAATGATTAAATGAGCCTACTTTTTTCAACCCTTACAAGCACCCCTTTTGATGAAAATAAAATCTTTAACCCTTAACTTAGACATGGACATAAATAGAAAAAATTTAGTTTATAATATATTACAATTTTTTATTTTCTTAAAAACTAAAAATAAATAATATTTATATAAAACTTGTTTATAGTTTATATATGTTCATATATATATATATATATATATATATATATATATATATAGAGAGAGAGAGAGAGAGAGAGAGAGAGATACATAGATGCACATATTATGTATATATAATCTTCCAATGGTCCAAATTGTAAAATTTTTCCATGCTCCAAAATTTATTCTAAAAAGTACTATTGTTTTTTTTCTGCAATAACTCGCTTAATTTTGATGGTACAACATGGATAAAAACGATTTTACAGGTAATTTAACGGGCTATAAGTATAGGAATGTTAAAACATTCTAAAGTCCTTCATGTTTAAATGACGAAGGGTCATTAAAAAGCCAATCTTTTTGTTTTTTTTTATGAGCTTTAAATTTAGTCGTTACACTTTTTTTGATAAAACCCTTAGTTTCAGAACTATTCTTAAAAAACCTTTGAAAAACACGTTTTTTTTTAACGAAAAATGACACTTTTCAACAGCGAATCACTCAAAAAGTATTGATCTAGCGAAAAAAATGTTTACTACATTTTTTGTTTGAAATTTGTCCTTCTATTGAATAGCGTGGTTATTTTGAGTGAAAAAATTTCCATCCTCGAAAAGGGGTGGCAAACACCCCCAGGGTGGAAGCGCACATCGGCACTATATAACTTTTGTTCCTTGAATAATTATTTACCAACACACAAAATTTTAAATTAATCGATTCAATGATGGAAATACCATAACAAACCCAGACAGTATCGCAGAGGTGTGGAAACAATATTGTGAAAGACTATTCTTTAACAACGACCCAAACAATAATACAGAGAAAAGAAGTTATGAAAAAAACCTTAAATTATTTCATATCGTCGATCGAGAACTTCGGACACAGGACAATCGCATTTATATTCTATTTTATACAATTCTAATTAGTTCCCTTTTTAGAAAAGTAATTAATCGTAATTATTTTTAAAGTACACACAAATATCGTATGTATCTTTGTTTTGATAATTACCTGCGAAATTCCATATCGATGTTGCTAGCCACCGACCTCCAATTTACGTTATTATTGCAGAATTTGGTCAGATTAATAACTATGGGGTGTTTTTCATAACGGTCCGTTGTCCACTTCCATGCTTCGAAAACGCTAATAATCGGAAGAATCACTGCAAATGTAAAAAAACAGCTTGGCAAAAGTGGTATCGAAAGAGATAAGTCAGTAATCTAAAAAATAAAACCATAATTATTTTTACTAGTACTTCAGTCATTCCAAGCAGCGACGCAGATTTTGTAAATAACTATACAATTTTATTTATTTAATTTTAACTAAATACTAAAATTTTTATCATTTAAGTATTTTATTATTATTATTATTTATTATAATAATAAATACTCATTATTATCTACCACATAATTGTATTACCAAGCTTTCGTACATTCTCCCAATTTTCCGTCTTGAAACAATACCTTATTTCCAGGTCCAAAATTACAGGTTTCATGAATATGTCTTCATTGCAGATATTAAATCCATGTTTACGCAAATTCTCATTGCTCCTGATCAACAAAGGTTTTAAAGAATACTTTGGCGTTTTTCGGAACATGAATCTATTGCTGAATACGAACCCACTGGGGTTACTTTCGGTGTATCTAGCTCACCATTTTTTGCAATTTGTACCCTGCACAAGCTGGCACGCGTTGAACCAGACTTACCTGTATCCTCATTTACACTCATGACTGATACGTAGATCATGTGGTGACAAGAAGAGATTCTTTACAAAATAGTATTATCGCTATACAAAAAATTGTAATTATTCTTTCTTGTTCATATTCCTTTGGATAATATTCTGCAACAGTCTTTTCAATTTGACTTAGATCACTCTTCTAGATCACACTAATCAATTCAAGTAATGCATTATTACAATTTATCATTCACATAAATTTCGAGGAGTTAAAAAATGGATAAAATAACCTTCAGCTTAAATATTCGTTAAGGAGGGATTCCTGTTAAATTGCTTGTTAGATAATCTTAATATTTAATTTTATTACATTTCAAACTGCTTACAATTATGTAGATAATATTAATAACTTGAGATAAGCACATACAAAATGCTTAGTTTGTACAAAAAAGTTCTAAGTTGATTTCTTAAATCAAATTTTGTTCAACAATGAAGGTAAGTGTTATTTTTAAAACAAAAATGATCTTTTTTTCTAAATATAAGAGGCAGATATACAGCTCATATTTTTCCTTGTCTTTTCTGTGATTTTAATTCCATTAATATAAAACACACTTCTCAAGTGGCACCTTTTTATTTGGGATTTTCTTTCAATCCCAATCAATTTCACAAAATTTCAATCCCTATAAAAGTATTCTACAAGTTACTAAAATGAAAAATATGTTACAATTAATCTTGTTTGTTTATTAATATATTATTGTACTTATAGTTTAACTCTTTGAAGCCCGATTTTTATTAAATTTAAAAAAAGATAGGATTTTTTGAAATTTATTTATTTTAGTATGTTCTTAAAACCAATTCAGTCAAAATAAACACTGTTGATCCTGAAGTATATCCTGCAGGATGTAGTATTCCCAAGATACCAGTAGGAACATACCGTAACAAAGAATTAAATGAGAAATAAAAACCAGGTAGCACTTCTTTCGTCCTATTCTTCCTATTGTTTTGCATGGAATGTTGCAAAACAATTTTTGTCGTGTTTGAGACAATGTCTGACATTGCAAAATCACAGAATAACAAACAATCAAAATTCCGACTCTCAGATGCCGCCTTTGAAGTTTGTCAGCATGTAAACGTCATGTTTTAGACGGAAACATAGAGCTACGACAGAACTGTAATTTAAATTTTTAGAGATTAATAATTTAGTACATTTAAAATAATTTAATCTATTCTTCAACTGCAAGTACGAATAAAATAGTGCATATTATGTCTGTAGTTGCCGTAAATAAATTAAACCGAGTTAATTTGTCTATGCACACCAGATAAAATGTCACTGAACAGCAATGTTTCCGTTTAAAACAAGGCTGATTCTGTCTGCGCGTACTTATTTTTTAAAGCAGAGTGGGCATTCTGATTGTTTAGTATTCTGTGGCCAGATGAACATTTCCACTGTGTTCGGCTAACATTTGCTATCGTGCTGCAGTTGGCACATCCCAAAGAAGTAATTCCTTGGGACGTATGAGACTTTGAATGGCGCAGTTTTAAGGGAATATGCCTTTTGAATTTACTCACTGGTTTTTCTGCTGATGGTCTTGCCCTTTTTAATTGTTCTGGAGTTCCAATACGGCCTCTAATCACAGAGAGCCAGAATTATTTTAAATACATACTTTTGGATTGGCTTGTAAGTTGAAATAGAATGGATGCGTTTACTACGAAAGCATGCACAAAATAAAAAAATATTCTATCCCACCACTTATGCGATTTACGATTCATCTCATAAAGACTTTTCAGCATGTCAAATTTGTTAACATATCCCATATGTGAGTTGTAGAGCACTACCATTTGTGGACTTGAAACCTCATTCAAAGTAGCGTCTTTTTGTCTTATCAATCTAATCACACTTCTACAATCCATCCACTTCAACTCAGACAGTCCATCTGTTGAAGTATGGTAATATGAATCTCTTCAATTCATTTGTTTGTCAGTTTTGAATTCTCGTAAATCTTCAATAAAATTTGTAACAGGAGTTATTCATTTAATTATGATTATAAACAGAAAAAAATATTAAATTTGAGAAACAAATATAGTTTCAAATAGACATAACCTAGAGAGAGTAGCTCGATACAAGTGCTTGGAAAATTGATTAGATGAATACTGAAAGCCAGACTAAGTATAGAAATGACTCACAACTTTCTTTACCTATTCAAAAAACACTTAAAAGTCAAGATATATAAAAATTTATATCTCAACTATTACTCCAGATACATTTGGGTTTGATTTTGAGTCAGACCTTAAATTTTTCTTAAATGAAATAAAGTTTTTCTAAAAAAAAAAATATAAGATGGATGAAAAAAGTCTAAGAAAGAATAAAATCTGGAAACCTATGCTATTTATTTTTATGTTCAAAATATTTATTATTTGTATTTATAATTTTTCTGTTTAAACATTGATATAAACATTTCAAATTGTTAAAAAGTGTTGGACAAATTATAAATTAAATTTTTGTCTCCTATAAAAACTTGCCTCTAAATTCTTGACTAAAACAGAACAAAGAAGTTTTTTTTTCAACCCAAGTGGCTGAGTTTCCTAAGTGTAAACAAGTTGTAGCCCTGGAATGTTTCAGGGTTTTCTAACATACAAATTGTTAAGTTAACTTTACCTATTCTAACTTGCTTGCACACAAAAAGATCAACAAGTCACATGCTCCAAGTGTTTTTAAAAAATATGTGGATAAAATGGTACATTTGTTAAAAAGAGTTCCTTGTAATACATTATCTATATTATAAATTTTATTAAACTATTTAATTGGGTAATTCATACCTTAAACAAATGTTATAAAACAGCCAAAACAGAGGAAACCCATTAGTGAATTATTATAAAAGTTCATAAGTATATGGTCAATACACAGCTTCTAAAAAATACATAACTAAAAGAATTAAGAACAATAAGTAGGTAGTTTCTTTACATTAAAGTACATTAAATTACTTGATTATAGATATATTAAGGTTTTAATATTTAAGATGTACGAAAATTGTCACTTCTCAGTCTACAAACTTTGCAGTATATAAATAGATATGACCCTGAGAGTTTGTTTCAGAAATTCACTCAAAGTGAAACTTTTGATGTTCTTTAAATGGATGCACATTTTATTATTTAGCATTATTTTATCTCAAACAGACACATATGTTTACTCTTAAATTACATGCATTGTTTATTACTTGATAAAACCATTAAATACACTTGTATTAACTTTTATTATTGGAAAGTTGTTTTCAGATCATGTAGGAAATACTTTAAAAAACCCTTTCAATTATTTGTATTATTTAAAAGAAACACCTAATATATACTTACGACATTGTTAAATCCAAGGAAAAAAGATAATATTAAATATCCTATCGGTAAAACGGAATAAAAAATAAGATACAAACAAGTCTTGTTTATGTGATATCCTATAAAACCTTCATGCTCATTTCCTAAAAGAAAACTAAAAATATTTGGTATAGTGACACCTGCAGTTATAAATTCTGTCGGCGGATAAATTAAACAAATACTTATAAGGAAGTATATCACAGTAAAAACAAAATCTGAAGACATTTTAGAGGAAAGAAAATTGAAAAATAGGAACAAGGTTATGTATTATGTAGGTATTGTTTTGTTACCAGTTGATTTGACGTTTACTTAAGTCACAGTACATAGCCCTCTAGTAAGGTAAGTTCTATAGAAAGATTTGGGGAAAGTTCCTGGCGCCACATGCGGACGGGCCAAAGCTAATTTCATTTGCCGGCAAATTTAAAATGTAGCTTCCGACTACAGTTGTTGGGTGACATTATAGCCATAAAATAAGAAATAAAAACTTACTCTATGCCAAAAAATATAATCTCTGTCCAAAAATATAGTATACACTTATATATTTTTATATATAAATGTATAACGATATAGACAGAGAGAGTACTTATATATTGTACATATTGTATATATGGTACAGGAAAGTTTTTATTTACTATTTGATGACTATATCTGTTTTCCATTACATAACAAACCAAAGTCCTGAAAACAACAAAATAATACACAGATATCCTGACATTTCTTTATTTGTATAATTTTCTTTAGTTTCATTTAATCTTCCCATCCTTTTGGAGATCTTAATATCGATAAACAAATATACATGCATCTATATTCATTACTACTGGTTTGTTAAAGTTAGATGGAACTACATAGATACATTATTAGATAATAAAGTGTAAACTCTAGCATTTCTGCGATTTTGCTTTTCAGGATCATAATCAGAAGTAGAAGGTCCATGAAAATCTATAATAATGAAATATTATTAAAATACATAATGTAGGACTTTTTTTTATAAGATAACAAAACTTTTAGGAATGTAATTACAAGAGTAAAAAGTTTTAATGATTTTAAAATAATTATGCTGTTAAGATAAAGGCGTGGATTACAGTGTTGCCTATAGCCCATTTTTTTTTTCAGTGGATACTCAAAATTCTTTAGAAAAAAGTTATTGTAAATTTAAGTTATGATTTAAGTAAAATTATTGCTACAATCATTGTTTTTTGAAAAACATTTTATAGTTTAATTATTATTTTGGTAAATATGCAAATCTAAAGAATAAAGAAACCATGGCAACTATGCCTCCTGTTATGTCATACTTCTCTAATGTGTCTAGTAGCGCCGTCGCCATTATGGACGGTTGGGCCCATACAATTCACTCTCCTCACCTGTTCTATTCTAAATACACTAGTATTTGTGGTTTATACTGTGACTTAAGTGACGCCTTCGAAGTAGACGTTGCGTCAAATTTAAAAGTAATATGAGGCGGGAAGTTTTAAAATCTTAGTAAAATGATTAACTTCGTTTGGATACCGGCGTGGTTACAATATCACACAAGCAGTTAGTTATGAGTTGAGTTTAGTTGATAAGGTATTACCGAACTGTAAACTTATAAATAAATATATTTATATACATTCGAACCGCTCGTTTTATTTAAAAACGCTACATTATTTTTATTTTATAATAAACCAATATGTCAAGAGTTTACATACAAAGCATACAAAGTTGATTTTTGATAACCTTTTATTTACCGCTACGGAAATTTCGTGACGGAAGTATAATAACCGTGATTCATTCGCTAGTGGCCTACCCGAAACTATTGCTGTAATCGATTCGGTCAGCTTATAAATATTTTGACAGATTCATTCTCAGAAATATAGGTACAACCATGATACTATGACTATAAGATAAGATATTGCGCATGTTTTTGTGACGTCATTGGAGACTTGCACGTTCGAAATGACAGTTTTTGTATATATCAATAAATAATCTTTAATAAATAGTTTGGAGATATCCTTATGTGTACGATTATTGTAATTATTAAACCTCTTAACTTATTTTCGTCTAGTAATTTCATCACAGAATCCATACAAATCTCATTTAACTTTAACAAGAATTCAAATTCTAGTCTCCAATGACGGCATGCGCGAACCCGACCGATTTTGAGCTACGGGAAGATCCTATCTTGTTATTCATAGTATCATGGGTACAACATTAAAAATTCATAACTGTCACTATTATCTCACTACTTACCAGTGGCGGCTCGTGACATCTGCTATAGGGTGTGCTGCATGAACCACGGTCAATATAAAATAATAGAAATAGAATAACATACGAAAACAAAAACAATAAAATTAGCTTTAATACTAATTAATAGTAACTAATAACGACATGCTATAAAAATCTGATTAACTTACATTTATTGCATTTTTCTAAATTGGAAATTAATACGCCGGTCCTTTTTTGTCGCAAACTTTTCGATTACTTTATCGTTAAAGTTCGGTATTGAAGCGATGAACTTTTTTTTCTATCGAGAGTGTGGAAAGGGCTGTTAATCTGTCTTCGCACATTGAATTTCTTAAAAATGTTTTGATCCGTTTTAAAGTTGAAAAACTACGTTCAGCTTCTGCTGTGGTCATTGGCGTAGTCACCAGAATTTGTATCAACTTTTTGGTTTCTGTTAATGTGTCCTCTAAATTATTAGAAATTATAAATTTTAGTAAAGGCACTGCACCTTTTAATGTTCTACACTCGATATTGGAATACAAAACTGACAGTTCTGTTCGCAAACGGTTTTTATCAAAGAAGTTATAAGCTGTACAAGTTAAATCCAATTCATTTTCAGGAAACTTATTATTATATTTTTCGAAATGTTCTGAAGATAAAAGTGTTGCGGCAACTAGATGATTTGTATATGCAAACCGTTCTTTTGCATTGTTTATAATAACATCACAAACTTCTAGACAGGCAATACGGTGATCCTGTTGGCTGTTATTTGGGCGTTTCCTTTTTTGGACACTAGGCGCCGCATTTAAATTTGAAGCTTGATGTATGATAGGGTCTATTTTATTTCGGACATTGTTAATACTTTGCTCAAAAACATGTATAGCTTTCTGTGCTTCGGTTGGGTCCATGTTCTTTTTTTGAAGATTATTGTACAAAACGTCAACATGTGGCATAATATAATGAAAAACAGTCAGCCAGAAAGTAAAATTTTGATCTTCCAGAATACGTCTAAGTCCTCTTGCTTCCTTGGAAGTAATAGCATTTGACTCTTCTTCTAGTTGCTCCATACACTCAATAATAAAGTCTCTATATTCGTAAACGACATTTACTGTACGAATATTGAAATTCCAGCGTGTAGGGATTGAACGAGGAATATTTTTTCCAACTATTTGATTTAAGACAGCTATTCTTTGAGGTGAATGACTAAAAAATCCAGGTATATCATGTAAATCTCCAAAAAATACGCGTACTTGGGAATTAATAGAACATGCTCTTGACATTATTAGATTCAATTGATGGGCGTAACAGTGCACAAAATGAGCAGTTTCATATTTTCTCTTAATTATTGTTTGCACTCCGCCATGTATCCCACTCATAACAGCTGCTCCGTCATAACTTTGTGCAATGAGCTTATTTTTGTTATTCTTTAATATTGGGTCTAAAACATTCAAAATTGTGTTAGCTAAGGTTTCAGCATCATGTTTTTCTGGAAGCAAAAAAGTCCAAAACCTTTCAACTGGAGCACCGTTTTTTACATAACGAAAAACAATGACCATTTGAAATTTCATAGAAACATCCGTTGTCTCATCAGCTATCACTGCTAAAAATGGGGCTTCATTGATTTCGTTTAAAATCTCCTCAGCGTATACTTCTAGCATGCAATCCAAAATATCATTTTGTATTGTTTTTGAGGTACCTTTGAAAATTGTCGCATTTGTAAGGTGTTCACTAAGTGTTTTATCAAGTTCAGCAGAAAAATTCACTAAACCACGAAAAATTCCAGGGTTATCTGATGTTTCAGATTCATCGTGTCCTCGTAAGGCGAGCTCAAAAGCCCCACAGAATTTTATACAGTCAATTATTTTTGACAAAACATACCTGTTTTTCGTCACCTCTTCATTGTGTTTTTGTATATTTATCCAATAAGCAGAGTCAAGTTGGGCCTGTATATTAAGTTTCCCAAATAATGCAAATCGCATTTCATTGTTCATATGAGTTTGCGTGTTTTCATGCTTCTTTATTTTTTCACTTAAATGCACTAGATCCCGCACTCCTGTCTCGCGCCACAATTTTTCCTCTTTATCTGCGCCGAATAATGCACACGGAAAACAGAAAAAAGCATTTTTTTCGGAACATCCACAAATCCACTGATTTCGTAGATACATGTCTTTATTAAATTTACGCGTATATGTTTTTCCACGGCTTTTACCGGACACTTCAATATTAAGATCAGGCATAGGACGGCCACGTTCTTTTATAATCAACTGTTGTTGATAGTGAAGTTTTTGAAATTTATTTACACCTAATTTAAATTGAAACTCCATTGTTTTAAACACGCTCGAACAAAACAAATTAAACAAAATTGTAACCTAAGAATTTCTAAACACGGCACAGATGCAACGGTCACGAATAACTGTCGTGAATTGCAGCTCGCAAACACATTTCCGAGGCCGTTAATCAGCCGATTGCCGAAGCACATCGGCTAAGATCGCCGTTTGCCTAATAAATGCATTTTACCGCTGCCAGTGTTTCGGTTGTTATCGACGCGGCTTCACTGGAGCAGCAAATACGTAAAAAGATTGCTTCACTGGAGCACCAAATACGTAAAAAAATTATACGGTTTCACTAGAGGAGTAAATACGTAAAAAAAATAATATTAATCATCGTTGTTGGTGAATTATTATTAACAGTTTATGTTTAATATGATAATATGGCAGATTTGAAATAAAACTATATTAATTATTCTTTAATAATTAAGATTTGCTATGGTTTTTTGGTAGTTCTGCAGCTCAGCAGCACATAAAGAAAAGCCGCCACTGCTACTTACTGTTGTAGATGTCTTTTTTTACTGGAAGTAGATTATACTGGTACTACTGCAAGATGTATCTGATATTTATTTATTTATTGGAGTTAAAGCCGTGTAGATTTAGGTGACAATCAAACATACAATAGTGAATCGTGTTATTCAATAGTGCCATAAAATTATTTATTAAATTATATTAAATTGTTATTGTTAAGAATAAAAACATGAATAAAACAAGTTTTATTAATATTTTTTATTAAACAAATTTTTAATCTTGACATGAGTTATCTTCTAGCAGACATCTCGTTTTAATAACATGCTCGTAATAATAAGACGACATTTTTCTTACTCTTTTTCTTTCGGGATCATTGAAATCGATATAGGCCAATCCAAATTTAGCTCTGAAAAGGAAAAACTCAGCAATTATAAAATGTTTGGTACGTGCAAATTAGGTACATAAAAAAATGTTGTGTCATGTAATAATCATGTACCTTATTGGTGCTCAAGATTTATCATAGATGATTTTGATATTATTTAAAGAATAGATCTGAGAAAAGAGCTTATTAGCTATTAAAATTATCTGTTGTAAATATTAAAATTGATAATATACATATTAAGAGCTCAGAATTTATGTCTGGGACGTGTTCAGTCTTTTTTACAGATATTTCAGACAGTAATCGAGAATCAAAATTATAGACAGTAAATTCTTAGAACTAATAGTGACGTTTCAGCGCTAATATAGTTCTTCCAATAGCGTACAAACATTTTTATAAGAAGTTACTTGTATTGAATAAATACTTATTTATAATATGTATCACGTTAATGTCCAAATATGATTATTATTGACATTTAGGTTAATTAAAATAATTATTTACATAAACACTCCGCTACTGTAAGTAGGCTTGCTGGACTGTTGGACAGTAGTATGAAGGTAAGAGAGACAATAATAATTATGTAAAAAACAGTAGGCATATCTACTTTAAGAAAAAAAAATACATTTTTTTAAGAAGTATAAAAGAGTGCTTAAACTTTCTTGTGAAATATTAATATGGTATTTATTTATTGTTTAATATAAGTTCAATACTTACGTGTAGCCTGATGTCCATTCAAAGTTGTCGATCAAACTCCAGTAACCATACCCAATAACATTAGCTCCATCTTTATCCATGGCATCTCTAATGTAGCTAAGGTAATCCTGAAACAATCAAAGCTCGTCAAATTACTAAAAAAATTAAAAAATGTAATATTCATTGTTCATTCATCATCATTCCCAAGTATTTAAATGTTTTGACTTGATCGATTGGAGCATTATCTACTTGCAGTTGTATTCTTAAAATTGCGTTTTTTCTTATTGCCATGCATTTAGTTTTTACAGCATTTATCTTCAAGACATATATTTTTTCTACGGTGTTTATTTTATTTAACGTCAACTGCATATCATGCTCGTTGTCTGTTTTTATCGCGGTGTCGTCGGCGTAACGAATATTATTTATCGGGAACCCGTTTACCTTTATTCCACACTCAGAGTCTTCCATTGCCTCTGAAAAATGTTCTCCACATAGATATTGAAGAGCATAGGGGACAGAATACACCCTGTCGCACCCCTCATAAAATTTCAAATTCTTCCGTGTTGGTTGATTCGTTCAGTCTCACTCGTGCGTTTTGATTCCAATAGAGATTCTGGATAACTCTTATATCTTTCTCGTCAATGTTAGCGTTTTGTAGCATTTTTATCATTGCGTCATGTTTTACGGTGTTAAATGCTTTTTTTAATCAAGGAATGTTATGACTATATCCTTTCTTTGATCCATGCAGTTTTGTACAAGCGTATTCAAGCAGAAAGTTGCTTCACGTGTACCCAGTCCGGTCTTGAAACCAAATTGTGTCTCACCGCTTAGATCTTCCAGCTTTCTGAATATTCTTGTGTGAAGGATGCGAAGAAACACCTTAAGTAAATGGCAAAAGGCAAACGGCAAAAAACAAACTTATCAGTCTGCGATCTTTGCATTTTGTCGCTGTTTGTAATTTAGGGATCATTATAAAGGTTGTGTGTTGATATTTAATTTTAAAACGGTTTATTAGGGGATATTATTATACATTTAAAATAATTGATTAAACGATTTTAAATCGGATAATTATAGAGGGCAAAGTATTACATCAGAAGGGATAAGGTTTTTTTTCTAAAAGTTTGTTATTGATTTATACTGTGCCTTATAGTAAATATAGTCAAAAATTCGAAATATATATTAAATTTATTATTTTTTATCTATTTTGTCTAAAGAGCTATGTATTACCTTGATATAGTCATATCTTATGGTGTCGTTTAAAGTTCCTGTTCCATCAGCATAACCATTTTCAGTTATAATCATTTCAGGGTTACCATACTCGTTTGCTATCCATCTAAGTAGCTTTTGGATTCCCCACGGACACACCTTAAAGGTAAATAAAAAATGAAGCAGCATATACTAAATAATAAAGGTAAAGTATAAAGTAAATGTTTGGTCTGTACTTTTGTATAGTGCAGAAGTGTGGACGCTAAAAGTATCGATCATGAACAAAATTGAAGCACTGGAAATGTGGGTTCATAGACGAATGTTGAAGATACCTTGGACAGCAAGAAAAACTAATGAAGAAGTACTAAGGAGCGTCAACAAAGACAGAGAACTGCTAAAGACTTAAATATCGAAAAATATCTTATCTGGGACATATAGTAGGAGGAAGTCGATAGAAAATTTTACAACTGATCCTTAAACGAAAAAGAGGGCCGTAGAGGTTAAGGAAGAAAACAAGTTTCTTTACAAACAAATATTATAACGCCAAAATAGAACGCCGCAGCACATTAATCTAGAACTATTAAATTCCAGAACAGAAGCAGAGAAGAAACGACTTGGAGAACGCTATAGATAAGCAAATAAAGTTGTCAAGAAAGCAGCAAAGAAAGAAATTATAGATTTGCATATAATTTACCTTTAACCAGTCTAATGGCGAATCCTGCCAATCAGCCGGTTGATACATAACGACACCTAAATCGGTATTATGACTAGGTTTTCCAATTGGTGGCTCAGGTTGACCTCTAACTATAGCGGTAGTGTAACTGTTAACGCAGAAAAAGTCGTTGGTGCCTTTAATATAATCAATTTCTTCGGGGCTAAGTTCTGTAAGACGTGACTGACTATAACCTTCTAACTTGCTCCTCATAGCAACACGAGTCTTCATTATTTCTGGGTAGTCTCCCTTGTACAACGGATGAGCTAACCATCCCCACTAAAACAAATATAAACACGTTAAAAATAAAAATATTGTTTTTATAACGGTATATAGTTACTATAAATTGCATCGATCGTTCTGATGCTTCCAAATCTTCAGGCTTATCACTTTCAGGTTCAAACCAGTTTGAATTTAATACCATTCCTACTTTTCCTAAAAATTGTACAAAAATATTAATGTATAAATATAATCCGGTTGATAAATTGGAGTGTATAGATTTCTACATGTAAAATATCATACACTGTATTCTTCATAGCCAGGTACCACAAGTACAGCCTTTATTAGTCGATGTATAAATACTCATATCCTCAAGACTCGTACTTGGATCACACCTGATTCGCAATAATGTTGGCTTTCCCATTTTACTCTTCTTCAGTTGTCTTTTATCTTTCTTATTAGCCTTCCATTGCCAACTCTTGTTTTTTTTATCCTGAATGGTTGTTAAGGCCAGGTTATTCTAAACAATTTTCAAACAATCAAATTTTTTTTTCAAAAATTGCCAGAAAATACTCTTAGAAATAGTAAAGAATTAGTCCCGAAGGCCCGTGCGACCTTGAAGTAGGTTTTGGAGAGAAGGGAGAGGGGTTAGAGGGGAGAGTGGGGTGCATTAGGCGGTTAATCCGGTAACTCAGGCTGCCCGGATGACGGCAGTTGTTTACTTTAATGGGCTTTTCTCGAAACCATGTTTTTTCAGCTAAGTTTCACATGTATTTCGAAACTACATATTTCACTTATCAAGATAAACTAAACAGCATTAATGTTACTCTTTAGATATTTCTCTATCGTCGGTTCTACATCCAAAAATATTCATGGTGATTTAAAAAAGTTCAAGAAATTCAAAAGTCCGCCATTTTGTTTTTGTTTTCGGTGAAAAGTGTCATTGTAGTACCGATCATAGCCAATACCGCCTTTTTGCTTTTGGATGATTTGTTTCCAAGAAATGATGACCAACAAATTGGACGAGTTTGGGAAGTCATTTTCCCAAAAAAAAAGTTTGATTTTTAAATATCTTTTATAATATTATGTCCAATGAATTCGACTAATTTTCCTCAGTTATCCGTGAAAACAACTTTAAATACTCACTAACATCCAAGACCAACGTGGTGTTTAAATCCTAAAAACCCAACTTCAAACCAACCTTATTCAAAACGCATCAAAGTCATCAACCTCCCAATTGCACACAAATGCCCAAACACCAGCTCCCGAAGAAGGATACGAGGAACTATAGTTTTGAGCCGCTGAAAAGATGGAATGATCTGATCACGTGAATGGCACGCACTCTTAAATATTCCTTTCCCTATGTTATCACTTTTCCCACGTTTACACCGCTCAACAAAAACGAACTAACACTCTCGCTATAATATATTTATACAGTTTTTTACAGGTTATTGATCTACATCAAATTTAAACCTTTTCACAAAATTCACCAGCCAGCGGAAGTGAAACACAAATCATGATACATAAAACATTTATGTTATAGTATCATGACACAAATAATGACGGTGTAAACAGTTTCTCAGAAGGTCTAGTTTGTACCGCCTGTCGATGCTTGCATTGAATGATCATGCGACCTTGGATTCCATCTTTTAAGCGACCAGGTTATAGAAATGGAATTATCAAAGGTACAATAGAATATTGTAGGTATCTGCCAAGCAAGGATGTAACGATTTGCATCGCCTTGATAACGTCAGCGCTTCGTAGTCACGCATCGCTACCAGAAGTTCCTCCTCCATCGATGTGCGATAGAGGAGATGGAAGGTCTTCGACCATATAAAAGAGCATCCGCCGCAAGAGAAAGCGGTGTGTCTTCGAAGTATTGATCTTACAACAACTCCACTGGCCCTAGGGTATTGACTGAAGGACAACCGATTCTACTAGAGTATTGATATAGTTGCAGTTCCGTACCCGGTCTTGAAGTATTGATCTGAGATATACCTATTCTCTCCTGTGCCCAAGTACTGTTTGAAAACCGTCCGTTCCTCGCCGGACCGAGTGTTGATTGACCCGTTCTATCTCTATTCCATCCATCCATTTAATACCGACTGTCTGTCTTCTTCTTTAAGTTCCATCTTCTATCGAAGGTTGGAAATCATCATGGCTATGCGGACTCTGTTGACTGCCGCTCTAAAAAGTTCTGCACTACTGCATTCAAACCATTCCCTTAAGTTCTTAAGCCAGGATATTCTTCGTCTTCTCACATTTCGCTTTCCTCGGATCTTGCCCTCCATAATAAGTTGTAATAATGCGTATTTTTGCCCTCTCATCACATGTCCCAAGTACTCAAGTTTTCGTCTTTTAATAGTTAATATTATTTTCGCCTCATTTCCTATTCTTTTAGTTACTTCCATGTTTGACATTCTTTGAATCCATGATATTCGTAGGATTCTTCTGTAACACCAAAATTCAAAGGCGGCCAGCTTATTCAGATGAACTTGTTTGAGTGTCCAAGCTTCCAGACCATAAAGAAGAGTAGAGAACACGTAACATCGAAGCATTCTCAGGCGTAGTTCTAACCTTATATCCCGACAACAAAGAAACTTTTTAAGTTTAATAAATGATGTACGTGCTATTTCAATACGTGTCTTAATCTCTTTGGTTTGGTCTACATCTGATGTTATCCATGTTCCTAAATATTTATAGTTATTAACATTCTCAATTGCAGTATCTTCAATAGTCAATTGGATATTTGCATGTGCAGATTTAGTCATGATCATGCATTTAGTTTTCTTTAAATTTATCTTCAGTCCGTACTCATGACAGCGTTAATTAAGACGTTGCATTAGGTTCTGTAAATCATTGTTGTTATCCGTAATTATTACTGTATCGTCTGCAACACGTAAGTTATTCAAAACTTCTCCATTGATAGATATACCTTCTATTGAGTCTGAGAGCGCTTCTTGAAATACCGCTTCACTGTAGACATTGAAAAGTAGTGGGGACAGCACGCAACCCTGGCGGACTCCTCTTTGTATTTTGATATTTTCGGTGTACTGGCTGTCAACTCTTACCTTGGCAGTTTGATTCCAATATAAATTAGATATAATTTTCAGATCACGACTGTCAATATTTTTGCTTTTTAATATATCTACAAGCTTTTTATGTTGAACTTTATCAAATGCCTTTGCAAAGTCTACAAAACATAAGTACATATCCTGATTCATGTCCATACATCTCTGAGCCAGCACATTCAAGCCGAACAAAGCATCTCTTGTACTCATACCATTTCTAAAGCCAAATTGTGTGTCACTAATCTCATATTCAAGAGTTTTAACAATTCTGCTGTGAATTATTTTCAAAAATGTTTTAAGTGTGTGACTCATTAAAGCTATTGTTCTGTGGTCTGAGCAAGTTGTTGAACTTGGTTTTTTGGGAATTGCTACAAAGGTTGATTGCAGCCATTGTCTGGGGATTATGGCAGTCTGATATATTAGATTAAAGAGTTCAACCATTACATCAATAACATCTTCATCGATGAGTTTTAATAATTCGATGGGCACCTCATCTGGTCCAGTAGCTTTACCCTCTTTTGTGTTTTTGATGGCATAGATGACTTCTTCTCTTAATATTGGTGGTCCAGTATCCTCGGTGATTTCTACTGACAGTTCTTCTCTTTCATCATTAAATAGTTGTTGAATGTAATTGGTCCAGTGACATAATCTCTCCTTCATATCAGTAATAATATCCCCTTTATCATTTTTAAGGATATTAGTTTTTGTACGCTTTCTAGAACCTGTCATTTCTTTGATTTTTTTGTGTAAATTAAAGCTATCGTACTTTTTATCCAGATCTTCTATTTCCTTGCATCTATCGGAGAGCCACCTCTCTTTTGCTTCTCGAATTTTCTTTCTGATGTTTCTCTGAATTTCTTTGTACTTATTCAGGTCTTTTGCTTTATGTTTTCTTCGTTCTTCCATGAGTTCAAGAATTTCTACTATCATCCAAGGTTTTGGTTTTTCTTTAAGTGGTTTGAGGGTTTCTTTTCCAACTGACACAAGGGCATGTTGAATTTTTCCCCATTCCCGACTGTCTGTAATGCACCTTAATTACTGTTTGGAAATTTATGTCATTACTTGTATTTTACTTTTCGCAGATATTAAACAGTAAGTCATATCGCCGTGGATGCTGTCGTCACCAGGATTCACGTTTTAATTTTGATGGTATATATTACCTAGAATCTAATTTTATTTTGTTATTTATTTGTTTCAAATATAGTTTTATTTAATTGAAACCTGTGTTTTACTGAGTCTGCTGTCTAAAAGAGCTACCCATCACAAGGAGAAGAGGAGAAAATTTAAACACACTTTAATCAGACAGCTTGTATTCAGCTCAATGACATCTAAACATCCACCAAATTAAAATGTTACAATATACGTAACTAATAAACACCGTGGTAACTTTTTACTAGATGGAGATTTCAACTCCAAAATGAGAATCAAGGAAGACCCATCAGAAACATACGACACAACGATGACACAAACTGATGAGAAACGATAAAAATACCAACAAGGAAACTCAGCATGAAAACCCTAAGAAACAGTGGAATATAACAAGCCTCTTGTTCGAGTATTTATTGATTTTCATTAAGGTTTTGACAGAGTTCAAATAAGCAAAGTACTACTGGCGCTTAAGGAATCCAGGTTATATACATAATTATATAAAAATAAAACGTAATTATTCTTTACTTACCCCCTTGAGTTGGTCTAAAATCCTTATCATAAATATGCCAAGCATTAGCATGTGCCAATAACATATTCTTAATGCAAATATAATCCTCCACTCCGTCCTCATAAGGTAATGATATGAAACCTACTGTACAAGCAACATAAGGTTCATTTATGGTCATCCAGTGTTTCACATCGTTTCCGAATAATTCAAAACACACTCTAGCATACTCAGCGAACCAGTCAGCGAATTGAGGCATCTTTATCCCTCCCAAGTCTTGAAGTGCTTGAGGTAGATCGTTATGGTAAATTGTGATCATCGGTTCAATGTTGTTGTTTTTCAATTCTGCTATGAGGTTTTTGTAGTATTGTACTCCTGCTTGATTAAGACTGTCGCGAAAACCTGTAACATACAGAAATGTATATATAAAAAAAGATTAATCAAAGAATTAAAGAAATACTACATTAATTTCACATTGCGGTCTTGTTAAGCAAGTGATGGTTTTGTTTAGGAAGGTATTGATGATGATTGATGTTGGTTCTTCATTGGAAGTTGACGATGAAGTAAGTGATGTTTATCGAGCTAAACTTAAATCTAAACTTTATTCAAGCTTCCATACCTTCTTCTTCTTAAAGTGCCCTCTCCTCAATGGAGGCTGGCTAGTACAATTTTAAACTCTTCTCTATCTTCAGCTGTTCTTATTAGCTGTTCAAAATTTAGCCCTGTCCATTGTCGGATGTTTCTGAGCCATGATAGTCTTTTCCTTCCTAGGCCTCTCTTTCCCTCGATTTTTCCTTTCACTATAAGTTGGGCATATTGGTACTTATTATTTCTCAGTATGTGGCCTAGGTATGATGTTTTTCTTACTTTAACTGTGTTAAAAAGTTCTCTTTCCTTGCCTATTCTATGCAGCACTTCTTCGTTTCAGGTATGCGATGTCCATGAAATTTTGAGTATTCTCCGGTAGATCCACATTTCAAAGGCCTCCAATTTATTTACGGTTGATGTTTTAATGGTCCACGTTTCAACTGCATATAGAAGAGTCGACCAGACGTAGCATTTTGATAAACGTAGTCGAATTTGAGTTTTATTCGAGAATCACAAAGCAGTTTTTTTTATTTTTTCGAAAGATTTTCTAGCCTGTTCTATTCTCGATCTTATTTCTTGATCAGGATTTAGGCTGCTATCGATCCAACATCCCAGGTACTTAAATCTATTGACCTGTTCTAAGATGTGCTCATTTATTGTGCAAGGTTGAGGTACGTTTTGGTTTTTTCGGATTGACATCACTTTGGTTTTTTTAATGTTTATATTCATACCAAATTGCTCACAGGTCGAGTTGGTCTTGTCGATGAGTCGTTGTAGACCTGAGTCGGAATCCGCAATTAACACTGTATCATCGGCGTATCTGATACTGTTGATATTTACGCCATTCACCTTGACTCCATCCTTGGAATCCTCCAATGCTTCTTTATATAGAAACTCGGAGTAAAGATTAAACAGCAGAGGCGGCAGAACACATCCCTGTCTAACTCCCCTCCTAATTTCTACTTCTGCGGATGTGGAACCTTCGATCCTAACTCTGGCTTTTTGGTTCCAGTACAAGTTTTTAAGAATTTGATGTCTTTTCCATCTAAACCGACTTCTTGCAAACGTTCTAATAGTAGGTCGTGTCTTACTCTATCAAATGCTTTTTCGAAGTCTATAAAGCATATAAATATATCTTTCTGTTGGTCGTAGCATTTTTGGGCGAGAACTAGTAAACTGAACAGGGCTTCTCTCGTTCCCATGCCGGCTCTGAATCCAAACTGATCGTCTCCGATAATTGTTTCGCACTTTCTATAGATACGATTATGTACGATTTTTAGTAGGACTTTTACTGCATGACTCATAAGGCTTATCAGACGGAACTCATTGCAGTGTTGTGGGTTTGGCTTTTTTGGTAGTGGGATGAATATTGACTCCAGCCAATCTTGGGGTATTTTACCTGTATCATAAATGCGATTGAATAAAAGGACAAATAATTCGATATTTTCTTCGCTGATTAATTTGAACGTTTCTGGGTATATTCCGTCTGGACCTGGGCTTTTATTTGTTTTGAGATGATTAATTGCATTTATGATTTCAGATTTCAGAATTGTTGGCCCTTCGTTGTTATTTTCCAATCTTGGTTCTTCTCGTATGTCGTGAAAAAGAATTTTAATATAGTTTTCCCATTCTTTCAGTTTATCTTCCGTTGATTCTAGCAGTTTGTCATTCGTGTTCAGCATGGTGTGAAAAGTCGTTCTCTTGGTAGTCGATGTAAACTCTTTTACCTTTTTATGTAAATTAAAAAAATCGTGCCTTTGTTGCAGTTCTTCTATTTCAACGCATTTTGTTTCCAGCCATTTCTCTTTTGCTTCGGTTATTTTTTTTTCGAATTATTCTATTTAGTCTTTTGTATTCTCCGTCCTTGTCATTTTTTCCTTTAGATTCTCTTCGTTTGTTCATTAATTGTAAAATCTCTTCTGTCATCCATTCCTGTTTGTTATTTCTAGGTGTTACTTTTAGATGATTTTCCGTTACATTGTTCATTTGTTCTTTAATAGTTTTCCACAGAACGTTTATGTCATCGTACTCGCTAATTCTATTGTGGTCGATATTTCCTAAATTTTTGTTTAATTCTTTATTTACTGTCTGTTGTATGGTGTCGTTTTTCAATAATTGGATGTCTAATAGTTGGTGTTGAGGTTTTTGTTTCTTTATTAGTTTCCATCTTGCGCGAACTTTTGCAACAACAGGATTATGATCGGAATTGATGTCAGTTCCAGGATATGTTTTTGCACTGATGATTGCATTGTGATATCTTTTGTTGACCAATATGTAATCTATTTGGTTACGGATTACTCTGTTTTCATTGTGTTGTGGTGAAGTCCAAGTGTACAATCTGCGAGGGTGTAATTTAAACCATGTATTGTGTTGTTGGCAGAATTCGGTCATTCTCTCTCCCCTGTCGTTTCTTGCTCCAAGTCCGAAGTTTCCGATCAATCCAGAAACTTTTCCTCTACCTAACTTAGCATTAAAGTCACCTAAGATAAATGTTAGGTCTCGTTTTTTGGTCATCTTTATTAGTTTTTCTACGTCAACATACCACGCTTCTAGCTCTTCTATGGGTTTATCGGCCGTAGGGGCATAAGTTTGAATGATGTTAATATTGACTGGCTTTCCGGATAGTTGAATAAAAAGACATGGGTCCGAAAATGGCACAAAGTTTGTGACGGCTTCCATAGCGTATAGTAGAAAATTATATAGATAACTTTTTACTATTCTTTTTCTTCTTTCTTCTTCTTCAGTGTGCTCTACTACTGGCGGTTGGCGATTCCTCTCGGTTTTCCTTTGCTCTTAATACAGTAAATTGTTTAATTCAATCTACTATCTAATGTTTTTGAGTTAAGATATCTTTCTTCATCCCATACTACTCTTTGAGTCTTTCCCATTATCAATAACTGTGCTGTATAATATTTTTGATGTCCCATATTATGGCTTGGGTGACTAGTTTTTCTTATCTGCTTGCTCTCAGTACGTACATTTATACATTCCAGGTGTTTTTAACATTCTACACAGAAACCAGATTTTAAATTATTAAACGCCATTAATTTTATTTTGGTACCGGTTTAGGTTTCAGTCAGTTCCATAGGATTACGCGTCCCCTCTCTTTCCTTGTCTAAGAGTTCACCATTGTAGTGGTAAGGTCCAAGAAATTTTGACATAATTTTAATTTTGTTGTCTGTTATATCGAGTTCAAGGTCAACAATGATGTTGGAAAACATCGATGTTTAGGCTCAATGTTGTATTGCCATCGATGGTACAGTTCCGATGTTTAATGGGTACTAACCATTGATGTTTTTTCAACGATGCTTATCTCTATATAGATACGAATAGAAATGGCAAGGGCAGCATTCTTAAAATTCAAACAATTGTTCTGTGACAAAAATCTGAATATTGCGCTGAGACTGAGGTTTGTTGAATGTTACGTCTGGTCGCAATTATTGTACGGAGTAGAAACATGGACACTAAAAGCGCAAATAGTTAAAAAGATTGAAGCCTTTGAACTTTGGATATACCGGAGAATGTTGAGAATCCCATGGACTGCCAGGGTCACCAATGAGGAAGTGCTGAGAAGAATGGGTCGAGTCAAAAAATTATTGAGAACGATAAAAGTACGCAAGACTGCATACCTTGGACACATACTAAGAAATAATAAATATAGTCTTCTGCAGGTCATCATGCAGGGTAGAGCCGATGGCAAAAAGGGAATAGGTAGAAAAAGGAAGTCATGGCTGCGAAATATTCGAGACTGGACAAACATGACTGTAGACGAATTATTCCACGTTGCAAAAGACAGAGAAGCTTTTAAAAATGTGGTCGCCAACCTCCGTTAATGGGGACGGCATAGGAAGAAGAAGAAGCTTATCTCTAGATGTGAGTGTCTTCAAACGCTATCGCAACAAGCGGTAATATGTTGAACTAACGTACGTCTGCATACGATACTGCTTCTTCATTGTGTTGGTCGAATGTTGAACTATTGAAACAGCAGACAAGCGCAGAGCAGAAGTTTTATTCAATGAAAAATAGTCGCTAAAGTTATTATCACGGCAAATTAAAAAGTAAATACTATTAAAAAAGACAGTAAAATTTCGCGGCACACCTACAGGAACTTCAGGGTCGCGGCACATTGGTTTGTAACCTCTGAGACAGACCATATCGACTGAAAAAAAATTACCAGTATTACCAAAGTCAGGAGCGTTAGGAGCAAAATTTATTATCGCATTGTTTATTCAATACTGTCTGAAATTTTTTTTGGCCTCATAACTATATATAATTAGAGCTTTAAGCATTGAAAAACGTAAAAATCTATAGTCAAAACAAGAATAATGAGAGCTAATCATCTCAAACAAATTAAACGTATTATTAATATATAAATAAATCTTACCGTTTGGCATTATTCTCGGCCAGGCTATGGAAAATCTATAAAATTGAGCTCCATGATCTTTTAAAAGTTGAACGTCATCCTTGTATCGATGGTAAGAGTCCGAAGATACATCTGCATTTGTTCCATCTTTTATAAAGTTTGGATTTTTATGAGTGACGTTATCCCAGATGTTTTGTCCTTTTCCATCTGCATCCCAACCACCTTAAAAAATAATAAAATACTTTAATACATTTAGACAGCAAATAGCTTAAATCAATTGTGAATAATAGACAATACAGTTTGAATTCAGGGTTAAACGTGGAAAGCAGAAGTAATATACAAAATAAATCAATTATATAATTATAAATGTGAAATATATCTGTTAATAAATATATATCTAAATTAGACTATGGGACCTTCCAGCTCATCCCCCAATAAAAACCACTTGAAATGCAAAAACACTCGTCTGGTACGGCAAGTACCCGCAATGTAAAAATACGACAATGGCAAACGCAGTTCTGGTGCTGGGGTATATGGTGCCCGCTAGCAAAACTAGCGTAGGCGCCCTTCTTTTTTTTTTAATTTAATTGTATTTATTTAATCTTTTGAAAATATTTTTACGTTAATTAAATGCAGCAGTGTATTCCAACTGATCTTCTGTCTTGCACTTTACTTTCCAATATAATTTGAAGTAATTTATATCAAACACATCTCAACAAAATGTACTATTTTCAAGTTATTTTTGAAAAATTACCCAAAAACATCCATTTTTTTACGTAGCAAATGAACAATATCAGTCGTGAATAACTTGGAAAATATTAACTTACCATGAAAAGTCTGTAAAACATTTTTTGCTGTAAATTGAATTTTCTATCGACTTTCGTAAAGGTTAAATTCTTTCACCCCGAGAAGCGGTGGTACTGACCCCTGGGCTACAAGCACCATCGGCAGTATACATAACTTTTTTTGTTGAGGAGATACAGTATTGTGCGAATTAATGGAATCACTGTGAATTTTTTTTAATTTTTTCAATATTCATAGTTGGCAACACTACCTACACAGTTGACAACTGACCAAGCATTGAAAACATAACCTTACTTTGTGTTGGTGTGTTTGAGTGTGTTTTAGGTCATTTCTTACCAAGCTTGTGTTGTTTTGGGGGTTTTTGTACTATTTTGTGTTGTTTTTGGTTTTATTCCAACATGGATATTACGCCTAGGAAGCGTGAAAAGATTGTCACGTTGAGTGAACACACTAGTATGTCACAAAGTGAGATTGCTAGAACCTGTGGAGTGAGTCAGGGGGTAGTAAGCAAAATTTTGAAGCGTAAACGAGAAACGGGATTAGTGGATGTGAAAAGGTTAGGAAAATGTGGAAGAAAGAAAAAGAAAAACAACACCAGCAGATGATAGATTTTTACTTCGAAAGAGCAAATTGGACCCAAGAAAATCAAGCCAAGACCTACAACAAGATCTAGCAGCATCAGCTATAGTGATTCATGACTCAACTGTTCGTAGAAGACTTTTGGAGAACGGTAGAAGGGCAATTCGGCCACAGAAAAAACAGCTTCTAACTGAACTAGTGAGGAGAAACAAAGGCTACTGTGGGCCAAAAAATACTCTAATTGGACTGTAGGCGACTGGAAAAAAGTGCTATTTACAGATGAAACCCACTTTATAGTTCAGGGACAGCGGTCGAAATTCGTCAGGAAGTCTGACAATGAAAAGCTTACACCATCTCATATTGATCAAACCGTAAAACATCCAGTCAAGAAAATGTTTTGGGGATGTTTTTCGTACATAGGGGTTGGATCTTTGGTGCCAATTGAAGGCATGATGAACAGCCAAAAATACAAATCCATGTTGGAAAAGTATTTGGACAAACAACTCCAAAAATGTCAACCTCAAGGAGGAGCGATTCTTCAACAGGACTCTGCTCCCTGTCACAAATCAAAGGAAATGATGGCATTTTTCAAAAATAAGAAGATTAATGTTTTAGATTGGCCCGGTAATTCGCCCTACCTCAACCCCATTGAAAATGTATGGGCCATTTGCAAAGCTAGACTGCGAAAAATAGACTGTACCACTAAAACAAAAATGATAGAAGCGGCCATTCAGGTTTGGTATCGAGATGAAAGGATATCTGACAACTGCCAGAAACTCATAGAATTTATTCCAAAACGAGTAAAAGCAGTAATTGCTGCCAAAGGGGGACATATTTCCTACTGAATGATGTAAGTTTACTTTATAGTTTTGTCAAAATATAATTTTTTACTAAATAAACTGTTTTTTCATTATAACAGCCTATGATTCCATTAATTCGCACAATACTGTATGTTGTGGAATGCAATTTTAGATTCCCCATGTCTCTAATAACATCTTTATCAACGTCTGTGTTACCTTGCAATTCTTAGAAGGCACAGATTAAAGCAGAAATCTGAATTTTATTTCGAAAATCAGTTTACGAATTTATACCTTTTTTTCTTTGACATGTTTTCTATGTCTATTTCCAATTTCATGTTGTTCGAAGCGGTTCTTTAAAATCCTGAGCAAAAACCGTGAAATAATGGACTAAAAGAACATTTAAAAAATATAGATAAAATTAATTTAGTTGATATACTAATGAATTTTCATCAATTGTTGTAAAATCATAGTGTAAGGCTACTCTATAGGTTCAGGAGTTTAAGATATAGATCTATACATTGATGTTTTTAATAGAATATTTGTTACCTTCTATTTGATACGAAGATGTGGCTGCTCCAAATAAGAAATTCGTAGGAAAACGTTTGTTATTGATTACAATGTCACTAGTATAGCTAAAAAATAAAATCCTAAGTTAACATTAGATGATATCGTCACGGATAACTTTTCCTTCCTTTCTACTCAGATGTGTGCTTGTCTAAATCTCGGAAATAACATTTATTTTTTATATTTATATTAGGAAAACTTATATCATCTTATTAAAAAAAACAGCTTTAATTTTATTTAAAAAATAAATGAACGAAATGACATTTTTGTCAATTTTTTTTATTATTATTGAGTTAATGCCTCGACAACTAAGATCATTGGCATGATACAATCAGCTACCTAGTATAGTGTGTGTGTAGAGTAATTGTCTTGATACTTAGCAAAGTTGACGTCATTGTATCACGTTGACTCTAATTGTATCCGAACGTCTGCGGTTCCTCCGGTGAGTACCGATTGCACAAGGATAGAAATTATTTTCATTCATTATTTTTTAATAAACGAAAATTTCTCCACCCAGATGAGATTCGAACTCACGACCTTTAGGTTTAAAGGTAGGCGCTCTTACCACTGAGCCACAGAGGGGGTTTGTCAAAATTTAATTACTATTAATTGAGTTAAAATTATTTCCGGCTAGTTTTAGACTGGTCACCTATTTGCTATTAATAAAAATATAACTTAAATAGAAAAAGTAATTTAGAATTTATGTATTTATCTATTTTATATATTTTTATTTTAATGTTGCAGAAAAATATCTATTAGATACTTATTAGAGTTGGTAAAAATAAAAACAAAATCTGGCTAAACTAAGCAATATTTTAATTATTCTGTATGGACATATCTATACTGGAGCACTTACCTAGTGCTGATAATACATAAAATAAAGCACAGTACATATTTCATCTTCAAATTACAATGAAGTTAATCTGTACTCAGAGGTTAATTTATAAGCAAATTTTCTGCATATTTGCATTATTTACTGAAAGATAGCCAATTTGATATGAATAATCTGAAAGTACTTACAAGTGTGCCTTTGAGTGCTATTTGTATTCATATAGGTATTCATATATAAGTATATCAATCTTAAAATTTTTGTTATCAATTTTTTATATTTTGATACTACAAAATTGTACTTTGTTGACATTGATTTTTTAAAATTTATTATTACTAATTAAATTACAGATAATTAAGTTACAGTGTTGTGAAAACCATTGTTTTCACTTCCTAAATTTGTATTATACTAAAACAATTTTCAATTGAAGGTGATTACTTGGCAACATCGCACTTAATGAAGCCCTTAACGATAACTTTTCAACGAAATCATATTCCACTTATCAATTTTGTAGAGGCGTACCAAAAAAAAAATTAATTATTTATTTACATACGTAATATAATAACACATAAGTAATTACGTAAAAATTAAATCTAAGACCGATATAATTATTAAATTATCATGTGTCTTTTAACAGGTATTTTATAGTTGTCTAAGAAAATAAAATAAAACGTTATTCTTATTAGAGGGTACCTAATACAGTACTTCAAAAAACAGAAAAATTTGGAAAATACTTATTTTTTTCATTAGACTAAATACAATCTGAAAATTTAATATACGATCTCCTCATTACACATCATTCTCTATTTATAGAATTGTTGTGTGCTGTAAACGTTATATTTGTTTTTTTTTAACTTAATTTGAAAGTTTCTTTGCGTTTGTTTGTTTATATAAATGTAAAAATATATTATGAAGTTCATATAAATTAAAATAAAGTAAGCTAAACTATTATCACGTGAATGCGTTTATATAGTAGTGCATTTGTTTATTTCAGTAAATTCTCGAAATATGAAATGAAGATGACACTAACTACTAAAGAGTTAATAGCTTTGTTAGAAGTAGACTCAGATTGTGAAAATGCTGACTCACTTAATGTGATTTATTTGCGGCCGAGATTAGATTAACTTTCTGATGTAGATCAGTTAATGACGTTAATGATAAATATTTGTGGAGAATCAATAAAATCGGATATTGTACCTAAATATGAAATACAAGTGATTGGGAATTCTGACGATTTTGATTATGATATTCCTCTAAACCACAGATAAAACGTCCAAAGGAAAATCCAGGCAAAAATAGTAAATCCAAATTTGTCTCAAGTTAAAACAACAGATACTCATTCATGCTCAGTAGTAATTTAACATCAGTCTGATTGATATTTAGACAATATAAAAGCCAACCATGGAGGCAAGTCATATATTAAACTTTTTCACTCTTTTTTTATTAAAAAGTAATTAAGAGCATTCTATATTTTACAAATATTTATGTATCCCAGAATAACCGTCACGATTTTAAAATGAATAACATATATTTAAAAAAAATTATTAGCATATGTATATTATCTGGTTTACACTCTACCTCAAGTTGATATGCATTGGTCAAAGAATGAGGATAAAGAAGTGCACAATATAAGAGAAAGCATGAGAAGGCATAGATTTATATTTATAATTTATAATAGTGAAGAAACCGCTACATCAGTGTCAAACTTAGTACATACACGTCAATCTAAATTTGCTTTACCAGATTAAACCAGATTCGACAATATTGGCCACATTACAAAAAGAGACGACAGTGCAAAAATGTACAATGTGCAAAAGTAATACTTATTATTTATTTATGTAAAAGGTGTAGAATGCATCTACACCCCGAATGGTTCGAAAATTTTCACCTTAAAATTTAATTTACATTTAAGATACATGTTCCTTTATTAAAAATTGTATAGTTTTGCTTGAAAATGAGAAAAAAAATCTTCTTGGTTGTAAATTAGTCCTAATTGAGGTGTTTTTAATCCAATCTAATAAATTAATTGTCAAATTGCTCTTTGTATATTGAACGGCCGTTAATGGGTTAATACTATATAAAGAATAAACTTTACTTAAATTTATTTTACTTATCTCAAAACTATTTTAAAGTTAATAATAAAGTCTATTTAATAAATATATTCCCAAGGAAGGAATAAACTAAAATATCATATTTCTCTCATTATCATTCTTTCTAAGAACTTAAATATATATAGACCAGCAAACTTTTGATAAGTTTACCGATGTTTCAAACTATTCAATGAACTTGTCTTGCTATACACTCGTGAATTGCACCAATTTATATTGTTACGGGGGCAAATTTATCTTACTATTTCACTTATTTACATGAGCGAAGAATACACAATTAAAATGACCCCGGTAAGAATTTACTGCTGAAATTTTACATGGTTGCCGCTACCGTTTAGTTTAATTTGTAGATTAGTGACCTTTAATTGAAAATTGTCCTACTATAGGTAATTAGCACAAGTTGATTAGTTAACATCAGAAATTATGATCGGTACCACTGTCATGGTTTAAATATATTTGTAAGTGTTTATCCACTAGTAAGGTGTAACTATCCACTATAGAAAAGTCTTCGCACAATATCCCAATTGTGTCCCAACAAGCAGAATTGCTTATAAAGAGGAAGCAGAAGAAGAAGAGTTGTTAAGACCATTCTCAAGGTCTATAGGGGAGGACATCTTTTTAATAGTCATATATGACCAGTTTACGAAGTTGCGAAAGGAAGGTGAAAAATCAGGAGGGGACTTTTAGGAACATGCCTGTGAAGAGGATTGTTTTTGTTATGACACAAGATAGAAGTTTACGGAAAAATGTAATAAGAGAATTACCCCGCATATTAATAAAGGCAAATAGAATGGTGATGGTGACTTCGTCTAGTCCAAATATTTTTTTTAAAATAATAGAACAAATTTTTGTAATCATTTTTTTATTAAGAAAAGTAAACAAAGTTATATAAATATTTTAACATAACACAATATACAGAAAATCAATATTAAAAATACATAAAATATATATTAATGATAACTTTACAAAACTGTCTTAATAATTTTTCTCTATACTTATATAATAAAAAAATTATATATTAATGTGAAAACAATATTAATCATTATTAAAAATAAATAAATACTGTCATAAAATGCCATATGGACACAGAAATCTCTCCCGAATAATTGGAATATTGAAATACTTTGCACTGTACACATAAAAGAAGATATCTTTGAATACTTTAACCACAGAAGCATTACGCTTCAAATGCAGCGTACAAAATATTTTCCACAGTACTATCTCACCGTATGGCATCATAGTAGAACGAATAGAAGGAAAATAGTAGGCTGGTTTCAGAGGTGGTAAATAGGTAATTCATCAGATCACAACCCTGAGACAAATTTTAGAAAAAACACTGGAATATGGCATAAATACTCATCACATATGTATAGACTATAAGAGAAATATTTAAAGCAATGAAAGAGCTGGCAATATCAAATCAGTTGTTAAATTTAACAAAATTATCTCTTGAAAAAGTTGAATATAGAGTATGAATTCAGGGGAAACTTTCTGAACCTTAAAACAAATAAGGAACTGCATCAGGGAGCCTCTTTCTCCTGTATACTCTTTAATCTGGCTCTGGAAAAACTCATATGTATGTCATAAATCACAATTATTGGTTCAATATATAACAAATCAGTGAAAATCCTTGCCTATGCTGATGATATCAATATTTTTGAGACAACGAAAAACGCTGTACGAGAGGCGAGTCTAATAATATACGCCAACAAAACAAAGTATATGAAAATAAGCACGCAACCGCAAATCCTTCGACCACTTGTTAAAGAAAACGACGTTATTGAAGCATTAAACGAATTTGTATACCTGGGAGCGCTTCTTAACATTGAAAATAATACTACTGCAGAGATATACCGCCGAATTTACACGGCCAACAGATGATATTTTGGGCTCAATCTCTTCCTTACATCCACAATTATATCCAGAAATACAAAAATAAAACCCAGTACTAACATATGGTTTAGAGACTTGGACTTTAACAAAAAGTGATAAAAACATGACGTTAGGATGTTTCAAAAAAAAAGTACTTAGGCAAATATATGGGGTAGTGAATGACAATGGTGTATGGAGAAGACAATACAACTTGTAACTATAGAATATACCAGGAACCAGATATAGTAAAACATATTAAGATAGGACTCAAGGTTTGGTCGAGCGCACAAATCATAATATAGAAAATATGCTAATTTCTTGGTTGGAAATCAATCAAAGATATTAAATGGTTTTATCCCACTGAGAAAGCGAACCTCTGTATTTCAGGTAGATATCTATGAAATCCTGTATTATACAAAAATAATCAATATGAGGACTTATGAAAATAAGCGGATCAATATCTAGACAGTCAGGCAGCCTTGGAAGCTCTAGTCATTCCTAAGAATACATCCAAACTAGGATCGTAATATCGCCACTTGTTTGTACCAGGTCATCAAGGAATCGAGGGCAATGAAGAGGCCGATGAACATGCCAGAAGAGAATCGGAAACCAGATATTTCTGGGTGTATCAAAGAGCACAATCAGAAACCGAATAAAAGGCTGGATTCGCGGAAAGCACAAAGAATACTGGGAATAAATTTCCATATAAACTCATGGTAAGAATTTCATTACTCAGACATGCAAAAGGGAGTTGCAGAATTGCGAAAACTGAATAGAAAGCAGCTCAAAATCATTACAGGGTTACAAACTATACATGAGCCAGTACAAGAACATCTAAATACAATGGGAGTAGGCAATAGAGATCTAAACTGCAGAACTTTGTTAATAAAACCAAGAAATTACAGGTGTATTTAACATTTAACATATGTTTAGAAAAAATACATAACTGTAGGGATACTTTTTTGTAAAGTTATCTTGACAATAAAAAGTTAATTTTTATCTTATTTTTACTAGGTTCATTTCAAAAGTACGATTACATCTAAATATATAAGATATATACAGGGTCATAGATGATAAACGATAT